CTGTGTATTCGGAGAACTGCAGCTCTTCATGCTTGGCCCAGGTTAAAGTGCTACACCAAGCAGACCCCAAACGTAAGAGTTCACACAGATTGGAAGCTGATTCATCTCTGGCTGGTCCAAGGCACGGGGTCCAACTGGGGGTGGGAGCCCCAGTCTGCAGCACGTGGCTTCCACGGTTGCTCTGAGTGGGGAGGTTGTTCTGGCCTGAAATCGGCACACATTGCTCCTGCCACATCCTGCTGGACAGAACCAGTTACCTGACCGCCCCTATTGCAAGGGAGCCTGGGGAATGTAGTGTAGCCAGGGGCCAGTGGGAAGGGGAAACAGCTTGTGGGGGACAGCTAAGACACCTGCAGTGTGCCTTCTGGCGAGAAAAGATCACCCCGTCTGGAAGGAGGTGACCCCGCCCAAGGGCACATCTTGCAGCCTCTCTGTGGGTCCAGATGTGCAGACAGGTGACCCAGTTATCTGCCTGCACCCTGAAATCTGATCCTCAACCCGATTGTTGCTGCTGCCCCCTATCGCCTCGAGCTACCTTTGGGAAGCCCCTGAGCATCTCCTCCCACCGTTTGAGGTGTAAACACTGGGCCCTTCTGGCCTGTGAGGACCCCCTTCCTGAGTTACCCCTGACCTCAAGCAGCCCCTCCTCTGTAAGGCTGTGGTGGCGCAGCAAGGACCGGCCTGCGCACTCATGTTCTGGCTCTTCCCTACCGCCTCCCGGTTTTCCCGAATGTTTTGCCACAACATAACAAGGGAAGCGTGTCATTATTTCCAGCTCACCATATCAGTTTCCCTGCCATCCACAAGCCACCCCAGAGCCAACACCACATACTGTAAGGTTTTGTCACACCAGCTCCTTGTGCACCCATTTCTGTGTTAGGGTGGGAGAATTAGTCAGCTGTTGCCACAGCAAATGCTGCATAACAAACCACTCCAAAGTCCCGTGGCGGAAACAGCAGTCTGCAGCGCTCACACTCCTGGCTCTGAGGGTCAATGCAGGGTGGAAAAGCCACAGGAAGGGCTCCACGCTGACGGTGGTTTCAGCTCCAGCCACATTCAGGGTCTCAGGCTGATGGCGGGTCTCCATCCTGCACAGGAAGCTTCCGTGTCACTGGAGGGTGGCCTCTTGGGCCCATGGGAAGGGGAAGAATGTGAGGGAGGTGCCAGAGTGGTACCTACCATGTCCGCTCACACCCACAGGGGAGGGCTTGGCTGCATGGCTACGCTACTTGCTGGGGAGCTTGGGAATGGAGTCTAGCCCATGCCCAGGAGGAAGGGGATGCTACGGCAGTGCCCGGCTCAGCCTCAGCCTGCCTCATGTGTCAGTTCTTCATGCGCCAGCCAGGTCTCTTGTTTGTCCATCAGCAAGTGGTCAGTGGCCTTGAATGACAGTGTGGAAGGTCCAGCAGGCTGCTAGGGGCATCAGTGACCACTTTGGGGACGTGGAACTCTTTACTCCTGCCAGGTGTTCTTCATCAATGGCTTCCCTTCTCCCTCCACTGCCTGTTGCTTCCCACAGCCAAGGGCGGGCCGACCCCCCCACCCAGATGCACCCGGGGGTCACCCTGACACTTGCCCCAGGCCCCTCAGCTGCTCCCTTCCAGCCACTGTCACCTGCCAGCAGATTCTGCCTCTCAGGTTTTGGCTGTGGTTTCTTCTCTCGAGCCATAGAAACAATGCTTCCCCAACTCTCCAGAACTTTCTGGGTTTTCTGGTCCACGGAGAGCACCCTTCTTGTTCTGTTTTTAATGGATTTTAATTTTTCTCTGTCATTTCCAGGCATTAAAGGTGAGACTATAGAGTCTGTAGGGAAGTGTCTGGACCACCACCTTAATTCCGTCTCTTCACGGCATCGAAGTGCATTCAGTTCTCAGGCCTTGTGCGCTCACTCCCTGGGAGCAGGATCTCCACGGACCTGCGGACGGACGGTGTTGCGGCCCAGCCCGGACCAGGGCAGAGGCCTACAGCACCGTCCCCTGGCCCCGGGGTCAGTCTGGGGGCTTCAGTGCTGAGGAGCTGGCTGGTGACTCTGGTAACAGCGGCTCCAGTGAGGGGAAGACAGAATCCTCAGGCCAGACGGCGAGTCCCGGGCGCCTGTGACACGGCGGGGCCCCCTGCCCCGTGGTGCCTCGCCCCAGGCTTCAGCTGCCTCCTGGAGGAAGAGCCCCACACCAGGCAGGCCCTTGTCCACCGCCAGGGCTTCACCCCCACCCACCCACGGACGCTCTGTCTGGGTCTCTACTTTCGTTCATTTGTGATTTCATTATGAGCCACCGTTTGGAACCAAAACACTCTGGAAGCCACCCCCCCCCACCCCGAGGCCTGGGACCACATGTCCTGGTGTCTTGTCCTGGTGGAAGTCCTGGTGTAATTAAGACCTGTCTGCTACTTTCTTTTTTCTTTTTCCTTTTTATTAAGGTATTACCGATATACACGCTTACGAAGGTTTCACATGAAAAACACTGCGGTTACTACATTCACCCGTATTATCAGGTCCCTCCCACTCCCCACTGACGTCACTGTCCATCAGCAGCAAGATGCCAGGGTCACTAACCTGCCTGCCTCTTCCAAGGAAGCCGCACTACTGGGGTGGACCCAAGTCCTCTGTCCAGAGGCAAGCGACCTACTCTGGGCATTTCCTTTAGCGAAAAGGCCTCCTTTCTGCGTGCAGGGCAACAGCGGAGTGGGGAAGGGGTCAGAACCGTCCCGGCGGAGCCGCTGCCTCTGATCCCCGCTCAGGCGGGCCAGGGAGAAGCCCGCCTCCAGGAGGGCGCGGGGAGCAGCGGGCACGCCGCCCCTGCCTGCGGACACTCCCGATGCGGGAGCTCCTGGGCGCCGGCTCCTCTCGTATGGCGCAGCGCGGCGGGTCGGGGGGCCGCTCCTCGTCCGGGGTGAGCCTGGGACGGCCGCCAGGCGGTGAGCGCGCGCAGGGCTGGCTCCTGGGCCCCCATCCCACAGCGGGGGCCCCGGCTGCAGACCGGGCCCTCTAAGCAGCACCTCCCCCTGCCGCGCGGGCCCTGGGCCGGGGACGCTGTCCCGTCCTCGCTCTCAGGGTGCCCCCCCTGCCCCCCACCCGGGGGAGCTGCATTTCCCTGAAGCAACTCGGAGGGGCGTACACGGCGCGGGGCGGCCCTGGGGCGGGAGGAGCTGATCGGGGCTGGATGCCACGGGCTGTGCGGACCACATCCCCGCAGGCCTCGGGGGTCCCGCCGCCGTCTCTCTGCCACCGCCGCGCTGGGGGTGCTTTTCCGGAGAGCGGAGGCGGCCCCAAACAGGGGAGAAAGCGCGGGGGCCCGAACGGTGAGTCACCCGCTCAGCGCCTCAGCCCCAGGCGCGCGCGCGCTCGGCCCCGCAGGGTCTCGGAGCCGCCCGGCCCGCCCATTGGCCCAGGCGCGCGCCGCCCGCGTCTCCGCGCAATCCCATTGGCCCGTGCGCGCGGCCCAGACAAAGGCGGCGGCGGCGGCGGGCGGCAATTGGGCGGGGCCGGACGGGGGCGCGGGGCGGGGCGGGGCCGGGCGCCCCTGAGGGCGGCGGCCGCGGGGCGCGGGAGCCCACCCGCCCATCTGCCCAGCACCCCTCCCGCCTGGGGCTCCTGCCTGGACCGCGGCCGCCGCCGCCTCCTCATCCTCTGAGAGGGCTCCGCGTCCATCCCTGCAACGCGGCCGGGAACGTGGGAACGCGGGTGCCCGCGCCGAGCAGAACTCCCCAGGCAGGGCCCGGACCTGCAGCTGGAGCCGCAGTACGCGCCGCTCCCTGGCCTCCGAGCCCCCTTCCCGGCCCGCCGGGCTGCAGGACCCTCTGTCGGGTCCTGCACAGGGAGGAGGCGAGGCCAGGCGCAGGAAGATGGACGCAGCGGCCGCACGGGAAGCTCCTCGCGCTTCCTGGAGAGTTGGCTCGGCGGGGCGCGTCGCTGGGGAGGGAGGGACGGGCCGTGGGGCTACCGGCCGGGCGGGAGTGGCGTCTGGGGGGCCCCCTCGCCAGCGCTGCGCCCGCGAGGCCGCCCTCGGAGCGCCGCCAGGTAGGTACGTTTTCCTTGTTTCCCGCGCGCCCAGAGCGCAGACTGGATAGGAAAGGAATAAAAACCCGGTTGGTGTGTAAGACCCTTTCGCTGCAAACGTGTCCTTTCTGCGGGGCTCCGGGACGGCCGCCGTTCGCGGGGTGGACGCGGGCCCAGCCGGAGGGCCGCCCTCCACTCCACCTCGGGGCGCGGGGCGAGTGCCCTTTGGAAAAGCTTGTCCTTCTTTCCCAGGTTCTGTTTCATTCACCGAAGAGACCGCGTTCGCTGCCGCGGTCCGCGGCTGGGCGACGGGGCTTTGTTCCCCGCAGTCTCTCCCTCTGAGGACCCGGGATTCTGTTTCGAGCGAGGACGCGCAGGGTCTTTTTGTTGGGGGTGGTGGGGCGCGGGGTTGTCGGAGGAAGCTCAGGATGGGGAGGCCCGGCCGCGGTCCCGTGCGGGGCGGGAAGGTCCCCGACCCTGTGCAGCGAGCCGCTCCCAGCCCCGGGAGCGCGGGCCCTGCCGGCCGGGGGAGGCCCGTGGCTTTGTGTTTCGGGGGTGCTTAGGGGAGGCCTGGGGCGGGCTCCTGCCCCTCCCCCGCGCCCACGTCAGACAAAAGAAGCCCTCAGAGAGTCTTTCTGGGGGGAGCACCCTCCTGAGTGCGAGCCTGCGGTCCCCCACCCCGCCCCTGTTCTTAGGACGGGACGAGCCCCTACAACAAAGGGGGGGGGAGTTGAAGAGAAGGGCGCTCCTATTTGGGGATCCTAAAGAGAACATGCCCTCCCCTCTCCACTTTCTTGCCTGATTAATGAGGCTTTAAGTGGCGGTGGATTTGTTTGGAGACTTTCAAAAGAGGAGTCCTAGATACGTGGGAAATGGGAAATTTGGCCTCCACCGGTGGGGAAAAGGCCCCCATACGGTGAAATGAATTTTTGCCGTTTGGGGTTGGACTGAAAATTAAGGGATTTAGTGGCTAAAGAGGAGGGGATGATTTTGTGTCCTTTTCTCCCGCTCCCCCGACGCAAAGTTAGAACAAAGGGCTGGGACGACAGGGGCAGAGCGGCGCGGGTGCGGGCGCGGGGCTCGGGTGGGGCGCGCTGCAAAGGCTCCCGAGGGCCGCGTAGGCCCGCGAAGCCCGGCTGTGCTCACTCCAGTTCGGGCTGCAAAGGAAAGCAGCTCCCCACCCGCGCTCGGGTTTCCTGCCGGTACTCGGACCACGAGACTCCCGGCTGGTCCCACGTGGTGACCAGGCCGGGGAGAGCGGGCCCCCGAGGGCGGGAAGGCCGGCCCACCCGCAAGGCGCGTTTGCCGCCCCCTAATTCCGCGGCGCAGACGGGACGGTCGCGGCACCCCCGGCCCAGACCCGCGTCCGCCAAAGCCCCGGACCTCGTTCCTCCCGAAATAAAACCCAACAAGCCGTGAAGTCTCCCGATTCCAGTGGAAGAGGCGCCTGAGATTTATGCGGCCCCCAACTCCCACACTCGGATTACCGCCACTGTTTTTAGTTGATTTACGGGTGGTGACCACTAAAATAATTTTCCTTTTTGGAATTTTTTTTTTTTTTTAAACATGAAAACTGCAAGCTTCGCTCCTGTCTTGACCCGCTTGGGCGGGCCTTTTTCCGTGCCGGAAGGAGAGAAAGCCGGCCTCCCTCCACCTTCTCTACCGCCTCTGGCCTGTCGAGCCCCCTCCCACGACCCCTTTCTTTGCAATTTAAGGGAACGTATTTTTTCCTTCCTCCCGTCGCCCAAGGGCGTTCACAGGGATTCCTCCTGAGAAGCCCTGCCGCGCGGCGCGTTGGGTGCGCCGCGGACTGCGCGGGACCCCGAGCCCCACTCGGGGGTCGCGGCCCCCACCCTAACCCCGCTGCTGGGGGAGAGCGGAGGTGGAGAGCAAGTGCCCCACGGTCTCAGTCTGGTCACTCTTCATTCCTCGCCGTCCTGGGGCCCGCGCAGGGCACAGCCTGGGCGTGGAGGGGCCCCACTGTGCTGACCGACCGCTCGCCGCAGCCTGGAGGCCCCCTCCCCCATCTCCTTCCCTTTGTTCGCATCTCCGGACGTTGAGTTGAAAGTGGCAGGAAAAAAATAATCAGATGAAAATCAAAGATTAGCCGAGGTGCGCTGGCGGCCTCGGGGAGACCTGGCTGACACTCCGTGGGCGCCTCATAAATCTTTGCGGGCCTGACAAAAGCCGCATCCTCCGGCTACCTGGGAATTTCGGACTTAAGATCTCGGCGCTGTCACCCCAACGGTCCTCTTCGGGGGAGGGCGGAGGGTCCTTGGGGACCCGGACCCAAGCCTGGAGTCCACCAGTTCCCAGAAATAGATGAAAGCGTCGCAGGGGGAGGGCGTGGTCTGGACAGTGAGCGCTGGCCCAAGACCCCCGTCCGAGAACCAAATAAACATCAGGGTGCTGCACAACCCCACTCCAGGCTGCCTGAGGAGGGCTTGGGGGTAGAGGCGGGGAAGGGTGGGGGACGGATCAACCCCTCGTAAGCAACTCCTTTGTCTGGCACTGCCCCTGCGGAGACCAGCGGGCGCCCAGCCCAAGGGTACCGCGGCCGGAGGGGCAAGCCAGGCTTCGGAGGGCTGCTGCTCCGGCCCAGGTGTGCAGACCGCGGGCGGGGACGGCGCGCGCACGTTCGGGCTGGGCCGCGAGCTCCCCGCGCCGCTGACCAGAGGTCGGAGTGTCCGAGGTCTTCCCTGCCCACGTGCGGTCCACCCCGGAGCTGCGCCCAGACGCCCCCAGCCGCCGAGCGAGGAGAACGTAAGGAAGCTGGGCCCGTTTAGGTTGTTCTACAAACTCGGATTAATTGGGAAATAGTAACGGCGCCTCCCAATGCAGAGGAGAGTTGGGGGGGTGTCTTTCAAAAATTATACCCTCACTCCGTTGTTCTGGTTGTTGCTGACCTCTTCCGCTCTTAAAAGAAATGTTGCCACATTTAATTTTTGTTGCCATGAGATACGGAGAGAGTAGCCCAACATTTTGGAGTAATTTGATAAGCCTTCAAGTAGCAAATCCGAAGGGAGGCTGGCGGCCCAGGTATAGTTTCTTTATAACCTGAATTTACAATGAAAGCATTCTCCTTTATGGATATAATAGATTAGATTTCACAACTTAATTCACCGGAATGGCTCCGTTTAAGGGAGCTCCGGCTGATTTTATTACGCCAAGCCAAATTGGATGTTTGTGGACTTAACGAAAAGCGATTGTGACATAAAATATATAATTTTTAAAGTAAAAAACCAGCGGGTTCGACCCTGTCCCCTCCTCTCTCCAGTTTTCTCCTCACCCCCAGGTGCCCCAGTTTGGGAAATACCGAGAATTATTTGTTTGCTGATTTCTCCCGAGAGACAGGAGCTCACACCTCGGAGCTGGGGGCGGGGAGCGCTCCAGGCGGGGCGGGGCCTTCCCCGCGGCCTCCTCGCCGCCCGCGCAGCCTCCCCGCGGCCTCCTCTCGCTGCGCGGCCTCGCGGGCGGCGCGCACGCGGTGCCCCTGCCCGGCGAAGGCTCGGGGTCCACTCCGCGGCCTCTTCCAAACCTCATTCCCAGCGCAGGCTCCGGAGTCCCCGGGCCCCGGTTACTCCCGTGGTGGCCAAGCGTCTACCCGCCCCAAGGCGCCCAGACAGACTCCCTGGAGGGTCGCCCACGCGTTCCCCCGCGTGGACGCAGGGACCAGACCCCGGCGAGCTGCTGTGTGCAACATGCCTGCGTTCCCGCAGGGCCTGCTGGGGGTCCCCCCACGATCGGGGCCGCCCGGGAGGCAGCAGGAATCTCGGTAGAGCCTCCCCCTGAGCCCCGCGCAGCCCCCACGGTGAGGGCGGCCCATAGGGAGTGGGCGTCGGTGCGCAGGACCTTCCAGGCCCAGCCAACCCTTGCCGGGCGAGGAGAGGCACGGCCCGCGTGGCCGGCGGATGACCGCGGTGGCGGTGGGGGTCTTGGTGGCCCGGTCAGGCCACCGTGATGGCCGGCCAGCGCCCGCGGCCCATTGTCCGGCCCCTGCTGACTAGGATCCGAGTCTTCTCCCGACAGCGGCGGCGGCCTTCTCCCTTCCCCGCCCCGAGGTCCCGGGTGGCTTGCTGACGGTTTGGCCCCCGACCCTCCCCCAAGACCGGAGACGGCCCCCGGGACAGCCCGCTGCCCAGGGCCTGGCGGGAGACCGGCGGCGGCGTGGAGCCAGGAGGCCCCGGGGCGGGAGCTCGCCCCCCGCGCCCGCGTCTGGTGCGTGCCGGTGCGCGCCTCGAATTCAATCTTCGCAGCGCCTGACCTTGTTTTTCCTGGGCCTCATCGAGGCAGCAGCTGTTTTTTCCTGAATTCCTTCTGCTGGGGGAGGGGCATTATTATTATTTTTGGGGGTTGTCACAACCTCCTGGAAAAATTCCCTGGCCTCGGAAAGTGTAACAATAACCCAGCGGATTTCTGGAGGAAGTGCCCCCTCCCCGGCTTTCTCCAGGGACGCCTCTGCCCTCCGGCTGCAGCAGGGACCTCCTCGAGGAGTGGGGACCCCTTCCCCTGCCCGGGCCCCAGCCCACTCCTGGGGCTTTCGCGTCTGGCTCCCTAAATCTGCCTCTGCCTTGGAGCCCTGCCCGGCCCCCTTTCAGCAGGAAAGACCGCAGCTCTCTGAACTGGGGAGAAATTCGCCTCCTCCAATAGCATCAATGGCGGGTGGGGGTGAGGGATGAGGGAGAACCTGTCCGCACTGCCCCCGCCCCACCCCACCCCGAGGCCACTCCAGGTGACCCCTCACTGGGGTGTTCCTTTTGGGGTCAGCACTAGACCCGAGGCATTTAAAGATTAAAGGGCGCCTCTACAGCCCCTCTCCTGGGCATAGCCCTGGTCTCTAATGCTGCTCCCCAACCCATAGGGCAGAACAGTGGGTGCAGGCAGACAGCAGTTGTGAGCTCACCCCTCTGGCCAGGGAGGAGACGGGGGAGCTCTGGTCGCTCACGGTACCCCCATTTGGCTTCACCCCTGCAGAATCCCAGTGGGTAGTGTGGAAAGAGGAGGAGACTGGCCCTACTGGCCCTCTCCCCAACTGATGCAGGGAGCCCAGGAAAGTGGCTGTGCCCGGATGGGGCCGCGAAAGCCCGGCTGGCCAGCGGGTCCTGCAGCGTGCAGCCAGGCAGCACTTTCTGGCAGCTGCCTTGCCAGGTCAGTCCCATTCTGCGTCTCTGTCTCTGGGGCTGTGGGGCCAGAGTGCAGGGGCTCTGACACAGTGCTCCTTGTTCAGGAAGGAGAAGGGACGGCTCCACAGAGCCTCTCTCCCCAGGACCCCCTGACCCATCACTCAAAGGCTCTACCACGAAGCCTCCGGGACCTTCCCTGAAGCCCCTCGTCCTGTCCGTACACTTGTGTTGCACCAGGTGGGGGGATGTGACCCACAGCATCTCCCAGCCTGCATGGATGACAAGACTTGAACTTTAGTCTCCAGGCAATTAAGGCAGCAAGGACTGTACTTCAATAATCGTTGTTATGCAATAAAAGTGATAAAACGGCTCCTATTTGTGACTTAAAAATGCAATTTATTTTGATTTACGTTTCTGAGTACTTCTGGGGTTTGATGGGGGGCAGTTAGGGCATCATTGGAGAGACCACAGCCCCTCTATTTGGAGGGACAGGGAATGGCCCAGATGAAACTGGGCTGGAGGAGCAGGAAACAGGAAGCTGGCCATGCGTGGCCCCGAGCTGAATATTATTAGGCTGGCAGGAGTTGAATATTCTGGGCTGCCTTCTAAAAAGCAGTGAAAAGGCACACTACGGCCTTGCCCTCTGTCCCTGGCCGCCGCAGAGTGGGCTTGGGGAAGCATTCCTGAGCCAGACATCTGGAAGGCTGCTGGGCAGGAGTGTCCCCCCGCATCCTAGGCCCTGGGCACATTGGTCCCCCATCCTGCCCTCTGGGAAACAGAGCAGGTTCCTCGGATCCAGAAGCAGCCTGCCTAGTGCCTTTGGAGAACCCCAACGTGGGGACCTGGTCTCGGCTCAGCCCTCCTTCTCCTGGCCTTGTGTGTGGACTGGATGCCTATTTCTGCAGCATCTGGACAGTCCAACTGTGCCTTGCCTGCTCTGTCTAGCCAGGCAGGCATATGCAGTGCCAAGGCCCTAGAGCCCCAGTGGCCTCTGCGGGGGTATCTTCTTGGTTTCCCCTGCGCCCCTCCCCCACCCCCACCCAGGCCGTGGGCACAGCAAGAACTGAGCATCAGAGCAACATGCCAGCCTCAGCCTGAGGGCCAGAACCCCACAGAAGAGCCAGGGACGCCTGCGGGGGATGTGGACTCCAGGGTGGGAGGGGAGGAGCCCGACTTTCCACGACAGGGGAAGTAGAGGAAGGACCCCGGTGAGGGACTGTGGACAGGACGTCTGAGAGCCTGAAACACACTCTGGCCCTGGTGGTCAAGGGATCTGTGGCCACCGGCTCCTGCCATTTAGACCCAATGCTAAACATGTTCACGGTTCACACGTGGACAGTCAGAAACAGGACTCCCAACCCAGCCTGTTGCCCCCACAACACACACACACACACACACACACACACACACACACACACACCACACACTTCAGCAGCCTTGCCCCCTCCGGCCACTCACTAGCTGCCCTGGGTGGGCAGGGGCTGGGGCAGCCTTCTGATTCCTCTGTCCTAGGCCCCGCGGGCTTCTGCTGACCGCGGTCTACACCTGCTATCCCTGACCCTCCTGCAAGGCCCTCCCAGGCCTCTGCCTCCTCCCTCTTATTCTGGGTGCCTTGGCTTGCCCCTTAATGGGCAAACTTTCCCAGAAATAAACTCAATGGATGGAAATTAGTAATTTTCCCAGCATTTTGCTCATTGCCAATCATGCCAGCTGGGTGGAGGGGCCCTGGGGGTGTGAGGACCCCTGAAAGGCTGTTAGCGTGAACACGATCTTCAGGGGCTCAGGGCCCTTGGGCACTTTAGGAGCTCTGCAGCCCCAGGTGCTTTGGAGGGATCCTGCCACCCCTGCACCCCACAGGTCTCTTGCTGTGTGACCTGGGTCTGATGGAGTCTTCTGGGGTACTTCCAGCTGGGGTTTCTTGCACCGGGAAAGCTCCTCACAAGAACAGTAACAGAATGGGGGATCCCGGACTGAACACCCAGAGACTTCTGGGCTGTAGGGGAGGGGCCCTGAGAAGCCCAAAAGGAAAGGCCGGAGGGGGTGGCTGTGGGGCCGGATGGGGCCAGGGAGGAGACCAGGGACGCCTGTCCCTGTTCGGAGCTCTGCTGTTGGAGACAGACGGTCTCGCTTGTCCAACCAAGGCAGGGTGACGCTGGGACTTCCCTGTCCTTAAAGAGGCCCAGCCCCCGGCCACACTGTGCTAGAGTTCTGGGCTTGCCGGCTCCTGCTTGCGGTGGGTGGGAGGACGGAGATTCGACGCTTGGGCAAAGCAGGCAAGGCTCAGGTCCTGCCATCCCCCTTCCAGGTGCGAGGAGGGCACAGCGCCGATGCCTGTGTCTCCAGGAGAACTTCATCACTGCCAGCTCCTCTGCCGGCTGCTCGGCTGGACCTTCAATACCTTCCAGAGGAAGCAGGGGCCCTGGCTGAAAACCCAGATGCCAAGCCACAGCCTGGAGGGTGGCCTGGGAGGTGTGGGTGTGACCAGCAGGTACCCCAGATGGCAGTCCAGCTACTACCCAAGAGACACTGGGAGGCTGGTGAGGAGCGGAGCTCTGCACACAGGAAGTATTTGTTGAATGATGGATGAATGGGTGAGTGGATAATGAGGTGTCATTAGGGGCAGGGGCAAAGATGACTTCTTTGGCCCTTTTATGGTCTACACTGCCCACTGGGGGCAGAGCTGACTTCACTGGCTCCACCCAGAAATGTTCCTTGGTGAGAGAGACTGACGGGCTGGGGGAGGGGGGATGGGGCTTCCTGGCCTCTTCCTGACCAGGCTCACAAGGGACATAAGAAAGATCCCTCCCCTGACCAGAGCAGGACATGTAGGGAGGCCTGGGATGCACCCCACCACCCAGCCCACCTCACACCTCCATGCTGGTGAGAAGCTGGGATGTGATCAGCAGGGAGGGTGGTGACGGGGTGGGGGGGCCACGAGAGCAGGCAGGCGCCGCTTGTCCAGGTCCACTGCTCCAGATGGACAAAGCTTTTCCACCTGCCTGGCAGGTGCAGAGACCCCCCTGTGCCCACTGTGGCCATCCTTTGCCCAACTTGAGCAGAGGTGGCCCCTCCTGGGGCTTGGTGGGCTTGTGCTGGCCCCACTGCCACCTCCAGGCATCCTATGGGCCTGCCAAGCGGCTCTGTCCTGAGGCCACAGGGACATGAGGTAGGAAGTGCAGAAGGAAGCGAAAGGGGCTGATTCTGGCCGCCGCCTGCACGCGGTACTTTAATAGCATTAGTATCTGGGTCCCCACCACTGCCTCCCATGGAAAAAAAACATTAGAGATGAAGACAAGAGGCACAGAGCGGCTCAGTAATGTGTCCAAGGCAGCACAGCAGGACTTGAACCAAGTCTGTCTGACTGGGGAGCCTGCTTTTGTCCAGAACATGACATACTGAATATTAATTAAAGTCATCGTCATAGCAGGGTGCCTGACAGATCCCTCACCCCTGCCTGGGACAGTGCCCATGGCCCAGACCTGACAGCTGGCCCAGCCTCCTGGGCTGGGCAGGTTGTGTTGGGCCCTTCTGAGGGTGAGGGGCTCACTGTCACCACACAGCTCGGGGCCTGGAGCAGGCCAGAGGCCAGGGGGTCCACCCGAAGAACATCGCTGGGAAAGGGCACCCCTCCTGAGGAGCGCTTCACACTGGCCACTCTCTGTCCCATGGAGCTGCGCTGGGTGCCCCGGATAGATGAGCACAGGACCCACGCTTCCATCTTCCTTTACATGGTTAACTCAGGAAGGTGGCCCGCCTGGCACTCAGACGTGAACTCTAGTGAAGTTGCAGCCCCTGGAAGAGGTCACACGGGACCGGTGGTTTGCTTTCAAAGTTTTTCAGCCACCCTTTGGCCCAGAGGGACTAGGCTCTGGTTGTAGATGGTGCTGGCTTTGTCCCCCCTCCTTTCACCTGCCACCCCATGACTGGGGGCCTCGGCACAACCAGTTGGGCCCCTGTCCTGGTCACTGCAGGTAATCAGGAGAAGTTTCCATGGGCTAAGGGACATTTTGCACATGCAACCATCCAAGCATGGCCCCTGGGCCCTGAGGAGCCCTGGACACTGTGGGGTGTGGGCAAGATCCTGGAAGCAGAGGGTCCCAACTCTCTGGAGCTGCGGTGCACCCCCACCCTAGCCCGATTTCACTGAATCCCCCCCGTCTGGCCTCTGATGTCTTGTCTGTAGCTCAAGGTCACAGCCTGGTGCCTTATGTGTCACTAGGTCACTGCACCTGCCCCTGGCCTCCCTGACCCAGCCTTTCACCCCACTTGTCCTCATCTGTCTGAGATCCACATGCGCCAGGGAACCCCAATGGCCCACATGATGTTTCCAAGCTCTTGGTTCGGGCCCCTCTGTCCTCCCTGGCCTTCCCTGACCCGGCCCGGCCCCAGCACCGTGGAACATTCTGAAGGTGGTGCTGGCCTGGTGGGGAGACCCTGGAGCCAGGGAGAACAATGGCAGGCACTCAGCTGTCCCCTGCCCGCCAGGGCGGGTCCTAACAGGTGCGGGCTGGCCCAGCTGCAGCCGGCGACTCTCAGCCCCCGTCTGGGGCTTGGGGGTCTGCTGCTCGCACCAAGTGGAGTTAGCTCTATGCTTGTCAATCAGCTTGAGTTAAGGGGCCAGGTGGTGGCTTGCTGATGCTGGACAGCCAGGGCCCTGGGCCCCCACTCAGTGCCCTGCTTTGACCCTGGGGCTGACCCTGGGGCCCACATGGCAGGGTGGCCTCCTCACTTGGCCTCTGTGGGTGGGGCTTGGAGAGGAACCGGCTGGAGACCAGAGGGCGGCTGGGGACGAGGGGTGTGCAGCTCACTCGGGCTCTGGGCCAAGGAGCCCTCGGCACCCCTTCTGCAGGGTCACCCTCCTTCCCTGGAGTATGATGGCCCCACCTGCCCACCCTCTTCGCTTGGTGCAGAGAGCTCACCAGGTGGGCCTGCAGGGCCTGGTGACCCGACCTTGCATTGAGCTTAGAGCTGAAGGCCTCTTGGAAGCGGCAAGCTGCACACACAGACCTTGCCAGAGACAACAGCACGCGGGCCTTCCGGAAGGCCTCCCCAGGCCCACGCCAAACTGATGGGCAACCTTCCCTTTCAGCCTTACCACCTTGGGGACCCCATCATGGTAAGAGGAGATCCTGGGAAACGGGTGATGCCCTCCCCACTTCCCTGCCCTCACCGTCACCTCCTTCCCGGACACTGGCAGCTACAGAGGAGGAACATATGGCCAGCACACTGCTGGCCCCCCCTGGTCCCCCAGGGCCCTTGGCCCAGACCCTGGGGCCTTCCTGAGCCTCCTCTTAGGAGGATGTGTCAATTCTGGGGGCTGGGTCCCCAGCACTGCAGGAGCTCCAGCCACACCTCTCAGTCTGA